CCGAAGCGAGCACACTTTAGATTGCTCTAACGTGGTTTCATGGACTGTGATTTCTCCTGGAGCTGGTGGCCTGGCCTGACCAATGAGAGATCAGAACACTCTGAAACATGGGAAGGGAGATTCTTTGCTGTGTCCCAAGCCTCCACTGAGGGAGACAGAAAGGCTACATCCCACCCTGGGTTGGCATAAAGGAGCTAGGAGGATCCCCATTAACTATGGGGCTGGAGCATCCCTCTGGAGATCCCAGGGTTTATAGAATCCCACATTGATGGTAGGGCTGGCCATGGGGAGCAGGTGGCAGCTTCTTGGGTCCTGGCCTTACTTCCTTCATGCGTACGTGTGTGTCAGCCAGTGAGTCTGACTGATGCATGCATCTCTGGCATCTTGGCTCCCATCAATGTTGCTGGTGATGATGTCTGTGTGCGGTCTTTCTGTGGTCTCTGCATGTCCAGTCCTGTTTGGGGTTGCCCGGCAACTGTTTTGACACCAGGTTTGTCTGTGGTATAGGTGTGAGTAGACTGAGAATTAATTTAATCACAAGGTGTGTGTGTGTGCACACATGTGCTTGATATCACCACATAGGCAGGAGGAGCCTGTTGGGGTTTGAGTCAATAGGATCTTCTGATGAGAGGTAAGAGAAAAGTCACTGGGCTGAGCCTGGCCTTGGAGGCCTGTATAGAACTCTTGGTTGCTAAGGCAACCATGAGCCTGTTGCTAGGCGATAGCTGGGGAAGGCCCAAGGCTGCCCAGGGCAGAGAGAACAGAAGTGTTTGAGAGAGTGGGGGAGGATATGGGAAGGGATGGGATTTCTGGATCCCTGAGGGGATGGGATGTTAACAAACAACTTCTTCACTGGGGAAGTCACATTATTTATCTCTGGTCATGATTTACAAGAAGAAAATAAAATTGCTTTTGGAACCACACACAAACTTGTAAAGGCTGCTGAGGGCTGGGTTGGGGGTATAGCAGAAGCCCTGCTTTCTCTGCCCATCTTTCACTACAAGTGTCTTCTCGTCCCCAGTTCCTTGGGCCCCAGGTTTACCCCAGCTTGGGATGGAGCCATGGCACTGTTCTGGAATGCTCTAGAACCTCCAACTATTCTGGAACACTCTAGAACCTCCAGGCAAAGGGCTGGAACCAGGATCACAGAGCATTCCAAGGTCTTCCCAGCCTAGGTTAGTCCAGCCCCCCTCCAGCACCCCCAGCAGGCCTCATGTGGATGCTGGCACTCAGTGGGATCTTCCTGGCAGCCGCCCAGGCCTGTGTCTTCTGCCGCTTCCCAGACCGTGACTTATCGGGCCGCCTGGCTCAACTCTGCAGCCAGATGGGGGCCCAGTGGAAGGACTGTGAGGTCTCCTGGAACTTCTCAGCCTTTGCCTTAGGTATGATCAGATATTCAGGGATGGGCCCATCAAGTCACCCCTCTGCCCCAAGTGGGGCAGCATGTGGCTTCCCAGCTGTGCTTCTCAATCACCTCCTCAGTCCACAGCCCTTTCTGGACACACTGGCCTCTCCCTCTGGGAAAACTTCAGACCCTGGAAAAGTCAGGAAAGGCCCAGAACCTCCTTCTGGGCTGATGAGGGAATCACGGGTCCTTACGCATCCCTACAGATGATGCGTCTATGAACAAAGTCACAGAGAAGACTCACAGAGTCCTGAGAGTCATGGGTGAGGTTAAGAGGGAAGGCACAACCTAGGGGTTTGGACGGCATCAAGGAGAGGGATGGTAGGAGGGGGCTGGAGGGGCAGGGAAGGGTGGAGGCCAGGAGGAGACAGGAGGACTAGATGGGAGGTGCTGGGGGAAGGGGTGGAGGTGAACCCGCCCTGTTGAGGCCCTAGGCAATAGAGCTGCTCTGTCTCCCCAGAGATCAAAGGGTCTCTCTCCTCACTCCCTTCATATTGGCAATGGCTTCATAGGACCAAGCTCCTCGAGTACAACAGGGAAGGTATCGATGCGGGGACGGACCGAGGGTTGGCTGGGTTCTTAGGCAAAAGAGCGTGTCTCTGAGCTCGTTTACTCCCACCCCTCCTTGTCTTTCATTTCAGCTCTCTGCGCTCCCGCTTGCCGTGAGTAGGAAAGGCAAGGGGTAGCGAGGGCGAGGGGCCTCTGGGGCACCTGAGGAGAGCCTGCAGTTAGGGGAGGAAGGGTGAGACTCGGGAAGGGTGGAGCAGAGGCTTCGCTCTCCAGCGCTGGTCCCGCTGTCTCCTGTAGGGGGCAGCACCATCCTGTACAACTGCTCCACCTGCGCGGGCTTCGAGGTGTACTGCTGGACCCGAAAGCGCTGCTTCCCAGGTCCTTACTCCCCACCCCTCCCTGCCTCACCCCACCCAGAACTCTGAGCTCTTAGACTCCCCCCAGGATCGTTCACTGTCTCTTGGGTTCCCTGCAGGAAGTCATGATCTTTGGGAAGCCAGGATTCTGCTCCTCTTTGTCTTCGGAGCTGTGCTGCTCCTGGGTTTTGTGAGCTTCGCAGTGGAGTGAGTTGGGGGATAAAGGCTGCAAACAGCCTCACCACCTCCAACCCACCAGTACTTTCCACCACCCATCCTTCCTCCTTCCTTCCCAGCCCCCTTCCCTCCCCTTCCTTTCTCAGGGCTCCTACCCTCTTTCTTCCCTCAGGTACAACCACTTTCAAGCGAAAAGTGACTTGTGACGACACAGACAGATCCTAGCCTCCAGTTCCAAGGAGCAAGTACCCACAACTTCCAAGTCTCTTGCGGGGGGTGGGAAGAGCCAGCCCCTTGGTACCAGCCACAACAGTTCAGTCTTCCAAACCCCGACACCCAGACGTCCCTATCATCCCAGCGTCAGATGGCCTCCAGGGACCCAGGCACCCACAGCTGGAAAGTTCCTCCCCTCCAGCCCTCAGCGAATCAGACAGAGGCAGTCACCATGCCAGGAAAATATCTACAGAAGGAAAGAATCCCCTCCGCACATGCCACTCCCACACCCCCTTCTGCCTGTTCCTGGAAAGTGGGGGTGTCTGCCCCAGAAGCTACTTCTGGCCCTCCTATGACTGGGAATCCGGGAATGAGTGTTCTGGAGAACTCCCTCCCCCCAGAATGAGACCACATCAGTCAGCCTGTTGGCATACTATCCTTCCATTTAACATTGTGAAGCCTTGGCCTCCCACAGAGGCCTCCCTCCTGCCAGGCCCAATTAAACCTGCTGTCAAATGGCCTCTGCCTCTGCCTAGCCTCTGTCTGCAACAGGAGGCTCATGGAGCATAGTGGTTCTCAACCAGGGTGGGGGTTTCACCTGCGAAGACTTTTTCAACAACTGGAGACATTTCTGATTGTTTTGATGGCAGGGGTGGGGGTGGGGGGCAGGGCTGTTGGAGGGATATGCTACTGGCATGTAGTGCGTAGGCACCAGGGATGCAGCGAAACATCCGAGAATGCACAGGAAAGTCCTCCACAAACGTCCAGTGTTTGGTTGAGAAACCTTGGTGTTTAGTCCCCTGGCTCTCAGGAGTTTTGATTTGGGGGATGGGAGATGAGACATGAGAAGGGAGGCCTGTCACTAACCGTAAGTCTCAGTCCAAGGGCCTAGGCTTGGAAGGGGTCCTGGCCCTGACCTCGCTCCATGGTTTTCAAACTGAGTACCTGGAGGCTCCAGGGCTAGCGTTCTCAAATAGCTCTACATTGAAGTCGCCTGAGCAACCTAAAAAACCCACCTGTTGCTGGGCCTCATCACCAGAGATTCTGAATTTAATGGTCTCCCATGGGGCCTCAGTCTAACTCACAGCCAGCCAGAGTTAGAATCACTGTTTAGGGGATCCATAAAGGTCCTGGGCATGGAGAGAGGAAGGCTTACCCTTCTCAGGAGAATACCTTCCGTTTTGTTTACACACTCGTCTAACCTCTTCCTTTTACACACACACACACACACACAAATGAGACCCAGAGATCATAAAGCCAGAACAGACAACTTGTCCAAGATCATACAACAGCTCACACATCCATTCATTTGACCAATCGTAAGTGATTGCCCACCAGGCGCCAGGCGGCACTACCGCCCACCGTGGAATGAGAAGCCACACCTCCCGACGGCCCAGGCACCACAGCGCCCCCTCGGGGCTGCAGTAGCTGCCCCGTACTCGGCTGTGCCCTCTTTCCAGGCTCAACATTTTGGAGCTGCTTGTTTTCACACCCAACATGCTGTGGGTCAACAAGTTCTGCTCACTCCCGAAGGACCTCTATTCTCTTTGTCCCCTCCTCCTGCCCTGTGGCCCCCAGCCCACTCTAGACCCCACCCACCTGCGGACCCCAGTCTCCCAGATGTGCATCTGACTTTGCCCACTCCCCTCGAATCCATAGCACCCTCAACAACCACACTGGTCTTCTTAAAACCCCACATCAAATGATGCTTAAGGACTTGGGCTTTGGGGTGTGTTAAGATGCCTGATTTCAAATCCTGGCTCTGGCTCTTACCGGAACTTGGGCAAGTTATTTAACTTCTTTGTTCTTGTTTCCTCATATTTTAAATGCAGGTCATGTGTTTCCTTGATTCTACAGCCTTCCCCCCCCCCATTTTAACATCTCTGAAGAATCCATTTTAAATTGAAGTCATGTCATACCATTAATACATAATAATGGTATGTATTACAATTGATGATATCTTTAATTCAATGAAATGCATCAGTGCTTACCTTCCAGAATTGCTGTGAGGTCCAAATCAGTTCATATAAAATGCTTGGGACTGAGGCTGACGTGTAACGGACCCTCATTAAGTATGAGTCATTGTAATTTCTTAAAGTCTTCCCTAGCCCTTCTTTGCATACAGAAATAGGGTTGACCCTTGACCCTGACATTCAAGACTCTCCATCAGCAGCTCCCGCCTGTCTTATTGGTTCTCAGTCTAGAACTGTCCAGATGCAGAACTGGAATCTCACTTGACTGTCCCACAGGCATCTTAGACTCCATGTGTCCACCCTCTCCAGACCTGATGTCCCTGCCCGGGCCCCACTCCGGCCCGTGAGCACTCTCAGGCTTAATGGCAGCACCAACAATGTCATGGACATCCTCTTCCTCTCTTGCCACTTGCCCACTTCTCACCAGCCAGTGATCTACCGTCATAGTGCTTCTTGGAACCTGACCCCCATGTAACCTCAGAGCTTTATCTCTCAGCTCTGCCCACCCCATAGCCACACTGAATCACTTCTAGTTGCCCAAACACTGTTTCCTCATGTCTCCTCACCTTTGCCCAGGCTTGTTCCTGGACCTGAAATGCCTTTCTCCTCTGGCTTAGACACCATCTCTTCTGAGAAGTCTTCCCCGAGCCCCTGAGACAGAGTGGGGCCATGTCTGCTCCAGGCATCTCTCAGATGGTCCCTATCACATCAGGTGATGGTGTTTCTTTACACATCTTCCCTCTACACCACACACTACTCTCTAAAGCCGCTGCTTAAGGATTGCTGTCTTTGTTCCCTCAGAGCCTGGCAACTGGTAGCTACCACGAAGTGTCCCTGACAACTCCAGCACCTTCTCTGAGCCCTGGTGATATGCCCTCCCCATGTCAGCCCTACATGAACACGTAACGCAGGAGGCTAGTGGAGTCTGTGTTTCTTTTGTGCACAGAAGGCCAACCGACCAGAGTATGGCCCACCAGGGCAGAAATGGCTTTTCTGAGCCTTTCACCCAACAGGGGAGGCTGCTGTTTTAACAACAGTTTTAAAAACAGCCCCACAGTCTGTGACGTGCCTCCTATCCTTCCTTTGAAACTGGACTCTGTGACTAGCTGGCCAAGTGCATGTGGCAGAAGTGATACTGGGCCACTTTCTGGGCCTAGGCCTTAAGAATCTGGCACCTTCTACCCTGTGCTTCTTGGAACACTCACTTTGAAACATAGGCACCATGCTCTGAGGATGCTCAGCCTAGGAGTCCCTACAGAGGGATTCAGCCAACAGCCAGCATCTATTGCCAGAGTGTGTGATGACACAGCCACCAGCTGTCAAATCACCCCCAGACTTTCAGTTTTTCCACCCAAGGCCCCAAACATAGTAGAGCAGAGATAAAGCATTCCCCCAGTGTCCTGCTGGAATTCCAGACACTGGAAGTCCTGGAGCAGAATAAAATGGTTGCTTTAATGCCACTCAATGATAGATAACTGGAACACTGGGGCAGAAAAAAGGTCCTAGGACTTGGCATTTAAGGCCCTGGGTTGACGATGTGGCTGGCCTGGCCACTTCCTAACTATGTATGTACATGAGGACACTTCATCAGCCTGAGCTTCAGTCTTCCTACCTGTAAAATGGAGTTAATGGTGACTAAGATGTATGGAGACTGTGTCAGACATCATTCTAAGCATTTTAAGTACTGTATTTGCTATCTATAGCTGTGTAACAAATTACCCTAAAACAATAAACCCTTATTATCTCACAGTTTCTGTGGCTCAGAAATTCAGGAGCAGCTCAAATGGGTGGTTCCGGTTCAGAGTTTCTGATGAGGGTGCCATCAAGATGTTGGTCAGGGTTGCAGGAATCTAAGATTTGACTGGGGCTGGTGGATCAGCTTCCAAGATGGCTCACTCACATGCCTGGCACTTTGGTGTTGGCTCTTGGCAGGAGCGCTCAGCTTCTCGACGTGTGGAGTCTCTCAACAGGGCTGCCTGACTGTCCTCATGACATGGTGGTTGGCCTCCTCCAGAGCGAGTGGTCCAAGAGGGAAAGGCAGAAGCCACACTGTCTTTCACGACCTAGCTCAGAAGTCACATGCCATCCTTTTCACAATATCCCATTGATTACACAGATCAGCCCTGTTCATTGTGGGAAGTCACAGCAGTGTGAATACAGGGAGGGGAGGTTCACTGGGAGCCATTTTGGAGACTGGCTACCACACACATAGATGCAGCTAATTCTCCAATAGCCCCCCGAAGGTAAATACTCCCAATAGGCTCATCTTGAAGAGGAGGAAACAGAGGCACAGAAGTGTGAAGTAACTCACTCAGATTGAGAGAATGGTAAGTGATAAAGCTGAGATTCAAACTCAGGCAGTCGGGCTCCAGAAGTGAGGTCTCAGCTCCTGTTCTATAAAGGCCCTCAGCTCCACTCTAAGCCTGGAGGAGTATGGTAGATGTAAGAGTGCTTCCACTTTGGAAGGCAAACCATCAGATAGATACAAGGTTGTGGGCTGGTGACTCTGTTAACTAGTGAAGTAAATGCAAATTGGGAAAAGATGGGGCCTCAGGGTCCTGGGAGATGGCGGATGCAACAAGAGGGTTTTACCCAAGAGTCTGGGGAGGGATAACCACGTGGGGCCAGGGAGTGCCACACAGGGAGGGGGCAGGGGTGGGTTCACCAGGACGCTAGTGGATTAGGTTTAGATATTCCCATCCCCATCATTCCCAGCAAAGGTGCTCTTGACGTCAAAAATCTCCTTGTTTTTTCACTCTACCCAGATGACTCTGTCCCGTCCATTTGTTCAGCAAAGGTTATGAGCACGTATCATATGAGTCAGGCACTTAGACTGGGCATGGGGTACAGAGCGATGTCCAGGCAAGATGAAGTCATTTTCTACCTGGTGCTTGGAGTCTAGCAGGGGAGACAGACAAGTTACTGGCAAATTCTACCAGAGCAACAAGTGCAATGATGGGAAAACACATGGATCTTGGGGTGCAGGGGAAGAGACCTGACCAGCTGGGAGTAGGCTTCCTGCATGTAGCAAAGCCAGTTTGGGAGAAGGGGATGGGACGACTTCCAAGCAGAGGGAACAACCTCAGAAGAGAGGCTCAGAAGAGAGAGACAGCCAGACCGCTGAGGTGTTTTGCCGCATTGAGAGGTTGGTGTGGGTCAGGTGGAAAGGGGAGAGCCCAGTGATCTCAGAGATCACAGCAGAAAAGGAAAAGCCAAGGAAGCACAAATGTGATTCCTGCTAGGAGCAGGAATGTTTCTGCACAAGGATGGGCCCCAGCCGTCACCCAAACTCAAGGTGGGGGTTGGGGGTTGGCCACCTGGGTGCCCTCTCTGCTTGTCCTCCTGGTTCTCTGCCTTGTGGGGAAAGACTTGGCCCTGCTGGTGTGAATGTGCTCATCCTTCTCGGATGCAGAGCCTGCAGGGCAGGGCAGAGGCTGGGGAAAGGCAGATGAAGGGGGTGGTGCTCCATCTGGGCCTCCAGGTTTAAGCGTTAGCAGGATGCCCCATCTCAGCCTGGAGAAGGTGCTCCCAGTGGGGGTGGGGGTGGGGGTGGGGGATGGTCAGACTGTGCTCCCCCACCCCCCATCCTCCTTTATGGGCAAAGGTGGGGATTAGAGAAACTTCACTCCAAAAGTGCAAAACAAACAGGGAGAAGGGGAGGGATACAGAGGCCTCTGATTCCCTGGGTTTTATGAGTCAGAGACAAAGGTGAGCCTGAGCTTCTGCCTCTGGTTTTCTGCTGGACCACAGAGGACTTAGGCCAAGAGTGCAATGAATAGCACCTCCTCTCCATCCTACAGCCAAGGCATAGGCAGGGGCAGCCCCTCTCCCCAGAACCAATGGTCAGGGCCTCTTCCCTGAGCTCCCTGCTTCTTCTCTCTCACCTTTTCCCAGTCTCTTACTAATGCAGGCTGGTTCTATCACTCCCCTGTTTAAAGCCTCTTAGTGGTTACCAGAGCCCTCAGGTAAGGCCCAAGCTCCTGACCATATTCTACAAGACCCCTTAGAATGAATCCAATCAGGGCAGGGATCATGTCTCCTTGTTCACCTGGGTCCCCAGAACCTGGCACAGTGAAAGCTTACTGGAAGGATGAATTGATGCCTAGTCTGCCTTCTGCCAGCCTCTGGCTGCATCTGCCTTCATATTCCCCCATGTGTTCTACACTCATGTATTCACTCAACTCCCAGAGGACCTCTAGTGCACCCAGATCTGGGAGGACACTGGACATTCAAAGGAAGATCAGGTTTCACAGACTCTTCCTTGAAGATGTTCATGGAGCCATTGTGCTTTCCACCAAGAACATGGATAACACCAGGATGAATCTCAAAATGCACTGAGTGAAAGAAGCCAAGTGCAAATAATAAACACTGGATGATTCTATTGACAAAAAGGTCAAGAGCAGGTAAAACTGATCTATAGGTTTTTTTTTCTTTAATGTTTTTATTTCTTCCAGCTTGTCTCATCATTCAGACCATTTTTAAAAAAATTTTTTGGTTTATTTATTTTTTGGAAGGGGAGGTAATTAGGTTTATTCATTTATTTATTTTTAATGGAGGCACTGGGGATTGAACCTGGGACCTCGTGCATGCCAAGCACACACTCTACCACTGAGCTATACCCTCCTCCTGATCTATAGGCTTTAGAAATCAGAATAGTAATTGTCTCTGGGGAATGGGATTGACTGAAAATAGGCACAAAGCTACTTTGTGGGATTGTAGAAATGTTCTAGGTCTTTGTATTAATGGATATGTAGAATTGTTGAAATGCATTGAACTGTACAGTTAAATCTGTCCATGTTACTGAATGTAAATTATACCTCAGTCAAGTACTGTCAGCATAGGAAGTTGTCATATGACTGTAACAATCACAAAAACCCCTCAGAGTATGGATTAAACAGCACATCAGACATAATCAAAGAGAGAATCGGTGAACTGGAAGACAGAGTTGAAGAGATTACCCAGATTGCACTATGAATGCACTATGAAGACACAAAGAATAGAAAATATGGGAGAGAGTTTAAAAGATATGGAGGATCAAGCGAAAAGCTCTACCATACTTCAACTCAGAGTCCTCAAAGGAGAGAACACAAGGAAAGGAGGAAAAAAAGAATATTTGAAGAGTTACTGGCTGAAAATTTTTCAAAACTAGTGAAAGATATAAATTCAGAGACACAGGAAATACAACACATTGAGCAGAATAAATAGAAAGAAACCCATACCTAGACTCTCTGTACTAGAACTACAAAACACCAGTGGTACCTTAAACTCAGGGAGAAAAGACAGATCACTTACAAAGGAATAACAACCAGACTGAGTAGACTTCCTCATAACCAATATGCATTGCGCCTATTCTACGCCTACGCTGTCCCAGGTACCGAGAACACAAGGATGAGCAAGACAGATCCAGCCCCTACCTGAACCACTCAGAAGCTCTGTCTCTATCCCCAGCCCCCCATACACACAAGACTTCCCACATGGCCACCCTGGGGAGTTCCCCATAGGCCCATTTTAGGGGCAGCACATTGGAATGGGAAAAGGCCATTCAGAGCTGGGAAAAGGCAATAGCTTCAATCTTAGCCTCCATCTAGGCTGGGGGCTGGCTTCCTGCAGCACCATCAACACCTCCGTTGTGGCAACATTCCAAAGCCCGGGGCACCAGGCCTCTTTCCTCTATCAGAGTGCCAGGAAGCTCTCCCCTCTACTCAGGGGCAGGGACTATGCCCTACTTCGCCTTGTATCCCCGGGGCCTGGGCAAGATGTCTCTACCAGGTGCTTATTCATTTAAGGGGTGGGGACCTGGTTGAGGGGTGGAGGATTAGTTAGACGGGACAAGGGGGCAGGACACCAAGGAGGAAAGGGTTGAAAGTTCTTTGGAGAAGTGTGGAAAGAGGATGTGAAGGTGGGAAGAGGATGGGAGGGACAGGGGAAGGGAGGTTTTTTAGAGTCTGGCCTGGCGGAGGGTCGGCCCGCCAGGCGCTCTCACCTTGTCCACCAGGGGACCCGGGCCAAGCCTCCAGGTCCCGCCCTCCGCGGCCTCGGTCCCGCCCTTCCCGGGATTTAGTCCCGGCAGCCTGGGCGGTTCCCCAGCCACCGCTTCCGCCTTCGCCAGGTGAGGGTCGGGGAAAGTAGGAGAGCTGGGGGCCCCGGGGGCCCGGGGTGGCGGGGCATCCGTCGCCTGGGGCGCGTCCGCGGGTGCTGGGCCTCCCTTCCCCACTCCGTCCCTTCCACGGCCGCGTTTCGTCGGGTCCCCCGTTCGGTGCTTTCCCCTTCTCACCTGGCAACCGGTCCCCGGTCTCCCAGGGTCCTGGGCTTCCTCCTGCCCGGCCCCTGCGCGTGCCCAGTTCCCAGCCACCTCTGAGCGTCCATCTGGACCCAGCTGGGGTCCTCTGCTGCCTCCCGGCTTAACTAAGTGGGGGAAGGGAGGGGGCCAGGAGAGTGTAAGGGAGAGCGTATGTGCTGGCAGCCAGCATTCAGAGGACCTAGAGCCTTATTTAATAAAGATTGGTGGAGTTACCTTGGGGCCAGGTTAGCGCGAGTGACGCAGGTGTGCCGACCAGGCTCTGTACCTGGAGCTGAACTCAGGTGGGTGTGGAAGGGGCCGTGCACCTGGCAGCCTGGGTGCCTCTGAGCAGTACCTGAGCTTAATCAGCCATCACAAATGCTGGATTTGATTTCAAATGTTGCTGCCTTGGGTGGAGAAGAGGCAATGATCCTGGGCATCTCTGGGCAGAGGGGGCAGTCTGCCGGCATAACTCAGGTGCATGTGGACAACGTACCTTGATGTCTTGTGTGTTGTGTGTGTTTGTGTGGACCTTGGTGTCTCAGATGTGTGGGGCGGTGTATCTCGGAGGCAGTGAACTCAACATGTGTCAGGTACGTGTGTGAGGAGTACGTGGCAGGGAGCCTGGTGTCCAATGGCAGCGTAAACTGGAATGCCTCAGCTTTGAGAGACTGTGTATCTGGGTGTCCCAGGCATCTTTTGCATCCTACCTATAGGCCTGTGTGTGTGCACGTGCCTGTGTGGTATTGTTAGTGGATCTGGGCATCTCTGGAGTGTTATGAGGGGGGTCAGAATGCCACAGGTGTACGTCAGTGGGTGTGCACAAGGGTGCACCTTAGGTCTAAAAGGCTGTGAACCTGGGTGGCCTAGGGGTACAAGTGGTGTGCCGTGATATCTGAAAGTGAGCAGGGCCACACACCTGAAGTCTGTGCACTGCTGAAAGTCTGAGGTGTGAGAACATCTTCCCGGGGTTTGTGTGTCTGAGGGGCAGGATTCCTGGCTGTCTCTGATGCATCCCTCCCTCTGTACCTGAGCTTTTCTGAGGGTGGAGCTGGCAACCGTGTTTCGAGTGCCTGAGTGTCTCAGGTACCCACCTGGGCTATGTGTCTGGAGGTCAGGGCATCACCAGAGGGGTTCCTTCTACAGACATGCTCCCTGAGGCAGGCTCCCTATGGCTGCTGCGGCTGCTCCGGGACATCCAGCTGGCCCAGTTTTACCGACCCATCCTTGAAGAGCTTAATGTTACTCGGCCAGAACACTTCGATTTTGTAAGACCTGAGGATCTGGACGGCATTGGCATGGGCCGGCCTGGTGAGAGTCCCATGCCCTGAGGCCCTGGCTCTCTCCTTCCGCAGCCTGTTAGTTGCTACCCTGCCCCCCTCCCACCCACCAGCCCTCTTCTTGCCTGTAAAACTCTTGCATCCTGCCCGCCCCCTCCCCGCCCTCCCCCGCCCACAGCCCTCTGATTCTGGCTTCCCCTAGCCCAACGCAGACTGGCTGAAGCTCTGAAGAGGCACCGTTCAGGGCTCAAGTCTAAGAACTGGGTCTACAAGGTGTGTGTTTTGGGGTGCAGGTGAGAGGCTTAAAGGGCCAGCTCAGGCCTGGGCAGAGGAAGGTATGCAGGGTTCTGCACACTTGATTTCCCACCCCTGTTTCAGATCCTTGGGGGTTTTGCCTCCGGGCAGAAGGAGACCACCTCACCCTCAGGCAGCCTTCTATCCCTCCCTGAGCCAGATGGGGGACTCAAGTGTCTGATCCCAGACAGTGCTGTGTGCAGAGGGGAGCTTCTGGGCTCCGGCTGCTTTGGTGTGGTGCACCGAGGGCTTTGGACACTGCCCAGCGGCCAGACTGTGAGTGTCCAGGGAGCCTACTTCATTCTGGGTACTAGGGCCAGCTGCCTCCTATGTTCTGTGTGCCCTCTCTGCTCTGGCCTTGGCTTAACTATTCCCTAGGGTGCCTGATGGTGCTTCCACCCATCTCCAGGTCCCAGTGGCTGTCAAGTCCCTCCGGGTGGGTCCTGAAGGCCCAGAGGGCAGCGAGCTAGGGGACTTCTTGCGAGAGGTGTCCGTCATGATGAACTTGGAGCACCCACACGTGCTTCGTCTGCATGGCCTGGTACTGGGCCAGCCGCTGCAGATGGTGAGCAGACCCCGACGCCGGCTCCTGGGGCAGTCGCGAGGCTGAAGTGCCACCGGAGGGTGAGCACCAGGTTCTCCTGGGGCCGCACCACTGCTCACACGGCTGTGCTCCCGCAGGTGATGGAGCTGGCGCCCTTGGGCTCCCTGCACGCGCGCCTGACCGCCCCACCCCCCACGCCCCCACTGCCCGTGGCCCTGCTCTGCCTCTTCCTGCGGCAGTTGGCAGGGGCCATGGTGTACCTGGGGGCCCGCGGGCTGGTGCACCGAGACCTCGCTACGCGCAACCTGCTGCTGGCTTCACCGCGCACGATCAAGGTGGCTGACTTCGGGCTGGTGCGGCCGCTGAGCGGCGCCCGGGGCCGCTACGTCATGGGAGGGCCCCGCCGCATCCCCTTTGCCTGGTAAGGGTGAGGGGGCGGATCTGGAGGGCAGGAGCTAAAGTGGTGCGGGGGGGCTGGTCCTCCGAGGGGGCTGGGGCTAGAGGAGTCGTCGGGTCTGGAAGGGCTGGGAGAGGAGGAGCACTAGGGGGCTTACCCAGGGGCAGGTTGTAGCTCCCGGGGCACACAGCCCACACACATCGGGCCCCCTTCGGCTCCGCTTCCGCAGGTGTGCGCCCGAGAGCCTGCGCCAGGGGGCCTTCTCTTCCGCCTCGGATGTGTGGATGTTTGGGGTGACGCTGTGGGAGATGTTCTCTGGGGGCGAGGAGCCGTGGGCCAGGGTCCCACCGTACCTCATCCTGCAGCGGCTGGAGAAGGACCGAGCCCGCCTGCCTAGGCCTCCCCTCTGCTCCAGGGCCCTCTACGCCCTTGCCTTGCGCTGCTGGGCCCCCCACCCTGCCGACCGGCCCACCTTTTCCGACCTAGAGGGGCTGCTCCAAGAGGTGGGAACTCCTGCCTCCCCAGATACAATCAGTCTGTCTTCCTTTCAGTCTGTCTCCCAGGATTCCATGCACAAGAGTAACAGATACAGACTCCCGAGCTGGGGTCTGGGACCTGGCTCTGAACAAATCAGATTCATTCTCTGCCTGCAGGGCGTTCAGAGTTCCCGGAGAGGAGTTGGGGTCTATTGGATGCAAGCTGAAGGGCTCGGGCAGAGAAGGGGGAGCCCGGAGCCCAGAGCAGTAGGAGACAGGAAAGGTTCCGCGTGGGAGGGGGAAGTACCCTAACTGAGGTGACAGAGGCACCTTAGGGGTGAGCGGAGGAGGGACTTGTAAGACATGGTGAATAATCAGCCCTGACACCTAGGGCACTTGATCTGTGTGAGATACTGTGCTAAGTGCTTTACTGCTTTAGCTGTATTCTTATGCACATTCACTCATTTAATCCTCACAACAACCCAACTCAATTTTAGAGAGGGGGCAGTTAAGACACTGAGAGTTTAAGTGATTTGCATAAAGTCACACAGGAAGTGGAGGCCTGGAGTTTGAACCAATCACTCTGTCTTAAGAGCTGTGCCCTAAATCACTAGGTACTCTGCTGTTAAAGGAGTTTAGTCTTTACTCTGCAGGCACCTGGGAGCCATGGAAGGGTTTTGAGCAGGGGAGTAACAAGCCACATTTACATGTTATAGCACTCTGGCTTGCTGCAAGAATGGATTAGAGGGGTGACACTGAAGATGGGAAGACCAGGTAGGCCACAGTGGCTGTGAAGCAGAAGTGAGATGCAAAGGCTTGGATGAAGGTCAAAGCAGTAGTGCTAGAGAGAAGAGGAAATTTTCCAGAGGTGCTTGGGAGGTAGATCTAATGAGCCTGGGTGAGGAGTAAAAGCAGTGTACAGGGTGACTCTCCCCTTGGTCCCCCTAGGTAGAGACAGGGCCCCTCTTTGTTGCTCCCTGAGTCCTGGGCTGTGCCCAGCTTGGCATGGAATCCAGGTCTGCCTCTTCCACTAGATTACAACTGGGGGACAGGGACCATCCCTCCTTGGGCCCAGGACAGAGGACATGTGCGGTACCGGTTTGACTGGTGGGTGCATAAGCAGTCCCTTCTCTGCTCCTGTGATATTACCCTTCTAACTCAGGCCACCCTTTCCTCCTGAATCTGCAGGCCTGGCCTCCTGAGGGACATTGTGTGAGGGATGTCACAGAGCCAGGTGCCCTGAGAATGGAGCCTGGTGACCCCATCACTGTTATCGAGGGCAGGTGAGGGGCCTCACGCCTGCCACCCAACCCTGGAGGACTCCCTCCCTACCCTCCTGACCCTGGTCCCATCTCTGCCTCTCCCACACTCCTTGAACCCTGATCCTCTGCCTCATCTCCTCTTCTCCCCACAGTCCTGGCCTCCCCGCTGGAGCCCCCACTGGCCCATAGAGCCCTTTTGTTTTAGGGAGATAAAGGCTTCCCTTCCACCAGGCAGATACAACTCCAGGGCACAGCTTGTGAGCTGAATGTGGGCCGGAGCCCAGCCCCAACTCTCCCCTGTCGCTCCCACCCCTTCACCCGCTCCTCTTCCCACAGCCCCGACTCCACAACCTGGAAGGGCCAGAATGGCCGCACCCTCAAAGTGGGCAACTTCCCAGCCTCGGCAGTGACGCTGGTAGACTTGGGGGGCTCGCCAGCCACCCGTCCAGTTCTCAGAGGCTCCCCTGCCCGGGGAGAGAGACATCAGGGAAACACAGATGGGTGAGGACCTGGGGCAGAGTGGGGGGCAGAGCTGAGCTGGGGACAGCAACTTTTCTGGAAGGGAAGCCTGGGGAGGGGAGTTGGGTAAAGCTGGAGGGGAGGCTGGACTTGCCTTCCAGCTGAGCTTCCAGTCTGGGTCTCAGCCTGCCTGGAAGCCCCAGAGATTCTTTGGGAAGGAGACACTGCTATATGAGGTAGGGGTGTGGGGTCTGTGGAGAATCAACTGGAACTCTCTTCAACAGAGCGAAGGCAAAGCTTCGGGATCCCCCTCCAGCCCGGGGTCAGAGAAGGAACGTGGCCCTGCAGAGGACGAAAGGTGGGCGTGGCAGTGGGGACTGGGCCTCCAGGGTCTCTGAGGAGGTCAAGGACAACCCTCCAACAGCGCCCCCTGCTCTGAAGCCTTGCCTCTGCTTGTGTGATTTCCCCGCCTATGGGTTCCCTCCTCACATTCTGCCTGCGGACACCCCGGCTCTACTTTGGACAGCACCTCCCACTGCAGCCCCTGGCAGTTCTTTGGGCCCTCAGCTACCTAAGCCCAGGCACACCTGTCTTATTGTCCCCCCCAACACGAAGACCACCCCGAGGACAGCACAGATGGACAGAGGACGGGAAGATGGCAGCTGGACTTCCTCTCAAGTGGTTTCTTTCTCAAATGTGCAGGCATTTCCAAGAGTCTGGAGTCGGTTCTGTCCCTGGGCCCCCGCCCCACAGGAGGTGGGTCGAGCCCCCCCGAACTTCGACATGCCAGAACTGCGCACCAGGGACCCCCGGGCCTGTCATCCCGCCCTCCCGTTGCTGCCAGCTCTTCTCAGCCCAGCCAGCCTTCCAGGGAGCGGCCTCCCTGGTCCAGAAGAGAACCCCCCCACAGTCACTCCATAGGAGTGCCTGGGGCCAGCAAAGCCACCATCCCCTCTGGGGGACCCTTGCCTGACCCCGAGTTGCAGAGGAGGATTATAGAGGTGAGGTCTCCCTGGAGTGTCCTGGTGTCCAGAAGGGGCTACAGGATGAAGGTGGGGGAGGGGCCTAAGTGAGGCTTTGTCCCTGCAGGTGGAGCTGAGTGTGCATGGAGTCACCCACCAGGAGTGCCAGCTGGCTCTAAGAGCCACTGGGGGAGACGTGGTTTCTGCCATCCGGAATCTGAAGGTAAAGTCAGACCCTTCTCTCGGGCTCCTGCCTCTCGCGCCCCAGCCGGCTGGCAGTCGGCTGCCCTTCCTCCCATCTCCACAGGTGGACCAGCTCTTCTACCTCAGCAGCTGGTCCAGAGCCGAGTGTCGACGCATCCTGGAGCGTTACCAGTGGGACCTCTCAGCTGCCAGTCGCTATGTCCTGGCCCGGCCCTGAGCTCTGCTCCCTTGGGCATGGACACCAGATGGACTGAGGGCCTGGCCACATGGGACCAAGCAGAGCCGGCACAAGGCCCTGACGGTATTTTCCCACCTGGGGAGAGCCTGCTGATGGCAGATGCAGGAGGCGCCCAGGATCGGGCACTGGTGAGCGTCTCCTCACCCTGCCCTTCGGTCTCTGAGGGCACAAGCCCCTTGGCCGGGTCATAGAAGGATGCGGTCCACTCTGCCCACCACATTCCCAACCGAGAGGAGGGCTTGGAGGAACAGAGCTGCTATGCTTCATACCCACAGGAAGCTGCTATTGCTACAGAGAATGAGCAAGTGGACACATCGGGCCAAGGGAACAGCCATCCTGAACTGCCATCAGCTGCCACCCTGGGCTCTGTGGGAGCAGCCATCTTGGATGATGGGAACAGGATGACTTGGGGCATGTGGCCTCAACTACCTTGGCTTGGTTTGGGGCCATCATGATGATAAAAGTTGCTCTCTTAGACTCAAGGACACGTGATCCTAGCAGCTTGGACTATGAGATGGGCCAGCTCCCTCCCAGCCCAGCTGTCATATTTCCCTTTCTTTCTTCCCACACAGACTATTTCTTCTACCCTCTCCCATCACATACATCTTCCAATGTCCAAAAAGTTACAAAGTTTATATGAATATAACATACAAAGATGCAGCCTCCTTCCTAGGGCAGGGGAAGGGAGGGGTGGTTCAGTAAGGCACAGGAAGTTGCAGCAAGCACCAGCTGTGGGAGGAAGTTGGCCCTGGGCCCTAGGCCCTACGACTGTTGGTGGGGAGGTGGGGATCCCCTCAGAGTGCCATGGTCTGGGGCCGAACTAATTGCCAAGCTGATGCAGGGAAGAGGGCATGGCTGCCATCTTTGGTGCTGCTTAACCTTCCCCACCCCAGCCCTGTCATAGAGCCCCAGAGCCCTGCATTCCAGAGGCCTTGCCTGGAGCAGAGGCTCAGGAAGGGAGTGGGAGGCAGTGGGTAGGGAAAGTTCAGAAGCCGACATGCCTGTGTGCTGAGGGACGGCTGGACACTGGTGGGAGGCAGCAGGGAAGGGCTCGCATACATACGCTTCTATAGGGGCCACAAGTGAAGGAGGCCAGGGGACTAGGGGAGGAATGGGCCACCACGCCCCCAGCCTCTCGGGCACCCCTGTCTCTTCCCTGAAGCGTACATGGAGGAAAGGGACTGCGTCCAAGGAGGGGTCGGGGCAGGCGACCATCTTGAATTCTGGTTGATTTGATGGTCTCCTCACCCTGAGGTGGCCTCTAACTGGTGACGGCAGAGGGCCCATCGCCTCCTCGCTTCTCGAAGAACATGTAGTCCTGAGGGGAGGGCACTATGAGCAGGGGATGTGGCTGAGCCAGCCTGGCTCAACTATTACAACCCAGGTCTGGAACCGCAATGCCCCGTAAAGTCTGTCTCTAACCCTCTCCCAGTAAGAGGCCAAGAAGCGCACAAGCCTCAGAGTGAGAGCAGAGGGGCAGCAGGAAGGAGAGGTGGGGGCAGCCGACTCACAATGAGGAACGTGGCTCCCAGCAGCACAGCCTTCACCCTCACGTCCAGGTCCAGCGGGAACTGCAGGCCAAAGTCGTCTGCATCCGTGAGGGCTTCTTGGAGCAGCCCCCCCCACTGCTTGCTGATTCGGCCCACACTGCGGGATTCATCCGGAGTCTTCACCTGTCAGGAGAGAGGGAGGGAGGGAGGGAGGAAGGACCCAACTAGGAAGGATGTGCCTGATCTCACCTGCCTCTGGTCTCACTCCCACAGTCACGGTGGACGAACTGTGAGGGCTCTACACTTAGTCGAACCCCCCCCCCAAAGCCTTGGGTTTCCATCCGACATCTGGGGAAATTGAGGGACCTGAGGTCACACTGTGAGCACAGAGCAAAAATTAGGATGCAGGCTCGAATCTGTTAGTCCTGAAAGGCCACACATGACAAGTAAACATCAGTGGTGGGAAAAATGGAAGCATGGTACAGTCCAATCTCCTTAGTGGATGGCCAGCTGCTAGGTTTGTTTTGGTTACTGAAGTCCTGGCTGCCTACAGTTGGTACAATTTGGGCCCTGCACAGAGGAGCCTAGCCAAGTGCACAAGGGAAGCTCCTAAATGCCTGGCTTCACCTACCAGCCGGCCAGGCTGCTGGAAGGCTGAGTCTGCCCAAAGGGGGTCCCTGTCCTCTCATCTGCAAGATAGGGAGGGCCCTGTCCAGCGCTGCATGCAAGCCTCCTCTAGGGTAGATCCAAGCCATCTAGTTGGGGGAAGGGGCAGCAGAAAGTGGCCTCTCTGGGACCAGCAGCAATAGGCCCCACCAATGTGGGTGGTAATTCAGGGTGAATCTCAGGTCTTTCTCCTATGCTCATTACCCAGTGGCTAGAGCTAGAGCGATGTCCTTCCCATCCCCTTCCCCAACAGTCCTACAGCTCTGGAGCACTTCCTGCAGACCAGGCCCAGGCTGGGCAGGGCCTTTCCCAGACAGCTCTGCCATCCCAAGACTACAGCCCCAAATGTGGACCATTCATAATTATTTAAAAGGGAGACTGGCCTGATGAGAACCATGCAATCTACATATTCCCATCCAGAGGTCGCCCCTGTATCTCTTTCCCAACCAGTTCCCATCACAGAACTTGCCCCCCAGCTACCAAGATAACTCAGTTTTTAAAAGTAACCTTAGGTAAGGCACCTCATCAGAAACCTTGGAAAGTCTGCTGGATTCTACCAGTTGTCTCTCCCTTATCTACACAGGTAATTATCCCTCAAAGTACTCAAGTGCCTTTGTCTTCTAGAAAGGAAGGTGCTTCCCAGGCCGTACCCTGAAATGGTCACCACCTGGGTTCTCCAGGCTCCAGGTTGGTGATTGGAATGCATGGTAAGGAAGATTTCACCTGGATTCCAGGCTGGCAGATGGGGTGATCATTTGGACTTCTAGGCTGGCAGGGCAAGCCACAGGATGTTAACAAGTTAAATTAGTGCTTACTCCAGGGCCTGGGCTCACAGAATCATGCACTGAAGCCACATGGGCCCAGCCCATGGAACACTCAATTATCATCCTTCACCCTAAATCTAGCCCCACCTTAGATACCTTTCTCCTTCAACACAGCACTTTAGATTAACAATCAGTATTGGCTCTTAAGATGCAACCCTCTTTGCTAAATTTTTGTAAGACCGTGGGCCATCATATTTCTGAATAGAGGAAAATTGGAAATGTGGTAGGCATCACAGTGGATTTGGATTTATGAAATCTTGACCATCTTGTTGGCCATCCTGCCTCTTGGATCATCTTGGTTTTACAAAGGTCCCAGGAATCTCCCATTTGTCCTGATACCTCAAAGTTGGTATCTGTGCCACAGCCACAGGTCCAGCAGGGCCCCACCACTCGCAGGACAGTCTGGCGATCAGCATCCTGGATGGAGAACTTGGGGATGAAGGGGTGCCAGGTCTGTAGAACATGGCCAATGGTGGTGCCAGGTGGAGCCTGTACTTCCATCTGGAGTGGGAGGCAGACAAGATCACTGCCCAGCTGGGGCACCTGGCCCAGACTCTCACCAGTCTAGTTCTATCACCTGTCCCCCCTCACAAGACCTTCCATCCCCTTCATTCGACTACATGTCACCCTTCTTACTATTCTTCCCATCCCACCAGCCCACTACCTCCCACCAGAGGCAAGCCTCATCCTGTGTCTCATCCCAGGTCCTGCCCCCATTATTGGCCGCCCATCCAGGCCTGCCCCCTACCTAAGTTTCTCCCTGGTCCCATCCCTCCCCGCCCACCTCCTGGAGGCCACACGGACAGCAGCTGCAGCCACACTGGAGGGGGCGGATCAGGCGCAGCACCTCTCGGTCCCCGGGGTCCACCAGGCGGACACGCAGGGGCCGGCGGGCTCCACAGCACAGACGAGCACAGCAGTTGCTCTCCTCTGCCGCCTGACCCAGAGGCTGTCCAGCCCCTGAGCGCAGTTCGTACCGGTTACAAGTCTCCCGGCCCAGGAGCGCTGCCAAAGGGTGACACGCTGAGGCTTGGGCACCAGCGCCTGCGCAAGAGCCCAATATCTGCCCCCAACACGAGGCCCAATCTACTCCTCCTTCCACTCACTTTCCACCCGCTCAGCCTTCTGGTGAATCAAGATCTGATCAATCTGGAAAGAGAGTAGGGACACATGCAGATGTCAGCTGGCCGACCTGGATGCCTGGGTCCCCTCCCCATCACTCCGTCTTTCCCTCCCTCCCTCCCACTCACCTGCACTAGGAATTCGAGGCCAAAAGGCACTCCTGGCAGTGGCAAGAAGCGGGTAGCCGGCCCCGGGACCCCAGGGGCGGGTGAGGGGAAGACAGCGAAGCCGGGCGCAGGGGCTGGCACGTGGGCGGGCACTGGCGCCTGCCCCAGCCCGGG